GTCCTGCATCTGGGGTTCTAACCACTCAAGCTCAATTCTTGACCATAGACGAGGGTAGGAACGTAGACCGACCAGTAAACCAAGAGCTTCACCTTCTGGCTCAGCACTCTCTTCACCATGACAGACCGGTACAACGTCCACATCACTGCAGACACAGCACCAATCCACCTGTTGATCTCCTGCTCCATTCTTCCCTCATTCATGAACAAGACCTGAGATACTTAAACTCCTCCACTTGGGGCAGGACCTCCTCCCTGACCTGGAGGCGGCACACTACCAGTTTCCGGCTCAAGACCATGGTCTGGGATTTGGAGGCACTGATCCTCATCCCATCTGAACCACTCCAGTGAGAGCTGGAGATCAGGATCTGATGAAGCCAACAGGACCACATCATCCACAAAAAGCAGAGATGTGATCCTAAGGTCACCAAAAAGGATCRCCTCAACACCTRGGCTGCTCCTAGAAATTCTGTCCAGAAAAGTTATGAACAGAATCAGTGACAAAGGACAACCTTGGTGGAGTCCAACTATATCTAGTCTGAACCTCTCAACCTCACACACCAGCTCAGGCTCCTCCCCCACCAAAGAGCTTCTGTAAGATCAGACCGCCAAGGTCCTCACCTTCAACCACTGTCCATCACACATTGTACCTGGCCCCTACGGCCCCTCCCACAGGTGGTGAGCCCATGGGAAGGGGGGCCCACGTCTKCTCTTCAGGCTGTGCCCGGCCACCAGGTGTTTTAAGGCTAATTATGAATTCAGCAGTGACCCCCGCAGCACTGAAAGGAAGAAGTGTGTACAGAAAAGGGATGGAATTCAAAGACTTTTAAGACTCTTTAATGACCTGTAGGAACCCTGTGTAATCTGATATTAATTTATTGTTAATAAAAGTGTTTTGAGTTCACATTTGAATCTTTATTATGTTGATAAAACTCAGTTGAAAGTGAAAATAATGTGAATGTCACGACAACATCTGTAGATCTGAAGCATGGAGTACATTGTCCCATGTGCTGTGTGATACGCTCATGRAGGACTTTTTAAACATTTTTAACTCAAAGTTTTCACAAACATTGTCCTGAGTCAGAAACTGTTGTTGGAAGATTTTAAATCTGTTCAAACTGAATCAGATCTTCAGTCTGGATGTCCTCTGTGTGTTGGAGGCTTTATTTCTGCTGGCTCTGAGGATCCTGAACGCTGACTCTCAGATTAATGTGGTCTGTGTGTGTGTGTGTGTGTGTGTGTGTGTGTGTGTGTGTGTGTGTGTGTGTGTGTGTGTG